GAAGAAGTATGCAGACACACGCAACCATGCTAAAGCATCAGATTTAGGCATCGGAGACCGAGTCCTTGTAAAACAACAAAAGAGAAATAAAATGTCAACTCCATTCAATCCTGAGCCATATGAAGTTGTGAGTAAGAAAGGCAGTATGACCACCGTCCAGAGAGGAAATCATGAGATCACCAGAAATGCTTCATTCTTTAAGAGAATTCCTCATGAAAATAATGTAGAAACTAATCAAACAATATCGGACAATCTTCAAATATTAGACAATCCTCAAACATCAACAAATCCACCAGAATCGATACGTAGATCCAAGAGAGAAAGACAAAAACCAAGTTATCTTCAAGACTACATAACTTAGTTTCTAAAACATGTCATACTTTCGTGATTTGGGCAAAATAATCCGAAAATAATGGCATTTGAGTAAAAGGACGTCGATCCCTTCACTCACAATTGAAACGATTTTGAAGTTAGTGTTATGTAATTTCTTTTGTTTTATTGAGTGAACCACCGTCCCTCGAGGGACGGTGAGTGAACATATGCCTATGTTTTAAAAAAATTGTAAGTTCAAGTTCATACTTTCATAAATATTGTTCGTTCCTTGACTTTGATATTCACAATATCAACAATTACAATTTGAAGACTTTTAAATATTGATAAGTTATATTTGTTATACATGCTTTCGTGAGTTTCCTTGTTTATCTAAAAGAGAGGAGAGATGTAGTATTCTACTTCTGTATTATTGTGACCTTTGACCTAGTCTTGTCTTGTAATTAATTATGCGGGCATGCTCAGTAGCACCTAGCAACCAGGGTTCAGTCATCAGTTGGTTAAATAAACAAACCAGTCCTTTCCCTCAGATAAACTGTCTCATAATTATTCTTTAAGAACATTACAGTTAGGAAATGGGTACCCCAGACCATTCGTCCCGGTGTTATCGCTATCACCGGGACGAATGGTCTGGGGTAGGAAATGGGCTTCCTACCTGCTGCATCAGCAACATGAGCACCGACGACTGCGGCAATTGCTCTTTCCTTCGTCATTTTCTGATACAGTGACCCAGAAGAAAGCGAACTGCACGGATTATTAAACTCTTCAATTTCTTCGTTTCTACCGCACTCACAATGACCGTTTTCGTTGGAGTCGCACTGCGGTGGTGAGTTGTCCTTGCAATCGACAGCTAAATTGTGGAAACTTGCGAAAACTGCGACAAACAGCACGACATCCACACAGTTCAGCAATACAAACTTTGACATTGACCCTGCAGCATGCAGCATGACGAGCATTTTTTTTTTAATTGCGCCCTCTATCGCTGGATTCAACTTGGGGCACAACGGTGTACAATAGATACGGTAGAGGACATTTCGCATGTGTTAAAGGAAAAGTCAAGTCTAACAAAATCGATACTATCGATAAAAAGCCATTACTCGAAACGTCTGGCTGTTTTTAATAGTTACTTAAGACAACGATTACCAAATATTATCTGGAGTACAACAGAGACGTTAATATTAGAGGGACATTCCCCCGGACATTCCTCATGTGTTTACCAGAGTTAAAAATCTATAGTCACTACAACTCGCTCAAAAATATATATGAACAACCATTTTAATGAAATTGAAGGAGAAATAGCAACAATTTATAGACTTTTACGGGAAATAACAATTTGTGTCAATTCAGAGCATAGTGCGTCTCACACTCCGGCCCGGCTCATTGTTGAAGTACACGGGTATGCACCGCTGTTCTGACCCCAAATTTCATGGTCGAACCGATCTTTTTGTCCCCCAAATTTTAGGACATTTTAGCAAAAATTGAGGTAATTTTTTGGCTAAAAAAGCAAATTTTGACCCACAGATGCCCTCAACATCCTAACCAAGAACCATCTCCAAGAAATGGTTCTGGATATCTTTATATGAGAAATGAATAAATTTGATGACTAAAATAATAAGAAAAAGAGGATCGGCAAGGGGTATTTTCATAAGCTGTAATCAATTTTCGCAATACGGTAATTTAAATATATAAGAAACGTAAATTCAAGGTATAAAATGTAATCAGCTATTTTAACAGCCTATAAAGCATTTTCCAAATTAAATGTTGTAACTCGTACGAAATTTCCTATTTTGATCCTTAAACGCAAATTATGAAAAATATAAAAATGTAATTAGTTTTATCTGTAAAGAGTAAAACCCTATTTTTTACTGTAAATGGAACTTTCATTTTATTTCCTGTAAAAGCGTAAAATGCCGTTTTCATTTCCTGTAATCTGTACCAGCTACCCTCCTTGCTACTCTCAGATAAAAGAAAACAGAGGCTGCATTGGGTTGGAGGATCGTATTTATTGTCAAAATACTGATATATTTGTGTACAAAGGATACATGCAAAACATACAAGTTTAGACTAAATCACATGAACCAATACATGTTTGCATAATCAACAAACAAAATACCATACTTTGTATAGGACTTTGAAAATATTTTAAAAGTTAGTTGATATACATAATAAACATTACCAGTCTTTGTCCCACATCCATTAATTATTATGTGAAAACAAGTTTAATAATTTATAAAAAAAAAAATAATTGTTCTATTATATTAAAACTTAAAAAGGTTTCTATATATACCACATATGTGCACCAGCAAATAAGGTCAATGAATGTGTTCGGAATATGAAAAACAAGTAGTGAATGGGTGTCCATATTACAAGTCAAATTGAGGATTTAGTAAGCTACAAGTATATTTAAAGGGTGGTAGTCGTCGGGCCATGCATGCGCGAAATATATGGGTCTCATATAAACAAAGATGGCGACTTTGGCTGTTGCGCAGATCAACGAGTACAAACTGAGATGTTACCAAGCTTTAATTATGTACTTTTTCAGGAGATTGGAGGGGTATCGAAGGAGTCACCGGTAGTAATTAATGCAAGTCACGCCCAGGTCAAACCTCTAACTTGTGATTTCTATTAGAAGAGTGCATTGGATTATGGGAAAATCAATGTTTATCAACACAAATGGCGCACATGTTCAGCGCGACGACCACTGCCCTTTAACTAGGTATATATATTCTGACAGATAATCAAACCATTGCCCCACGGCTTAAAAATAGCCAGTGTTGATAACTAGGAGTAGCTTTAGATCGTTTTTGTTTGCAAATGCATTTTTATGAAAACAATATGGTACAATTTATCATGTAATAAATATACTGTTTAAGCAGAAATTCTCCCCCCCCCTCCCCCTTCCCCTCAAACAAAGGTTTTGCCTACAAGTCATCATGCATATTCATTTGGAACCTGTGCCTTGTTTTAAAGAAGCAGCAAAACTGTTTTTGCGCAAACATAAGATTTGTATGTAATGAATAATAGAATGTTAGTGCATGTCAGCTTTACAATTCTGTATTACTAAATCTTAGGTGAATGCACGCTGGCTATTTTTACCTCATTTCATCAAAGGAACACTGATTCTTTTGTCACCAAAATTATTTTTATTTTACAATAAATCAGACGTTCCTATCAAGATGCAATTCAAGACAGATGTATTTAAAGCAGAGGGTTGTCACCTGCACAGACACACACAGGAATTGAATCCTAAGCGTCGATTACATTAATCGCTAACGCTCCCCCGCTTTAAAGGTCCCTCAAACTTTAAGGACTATAGATTCTGAATAATATTTATGTTGCCACGGAAACCAATGTTCTACTTAATTGTGATGAATCAATCTGGATTTGTTTGATTTACAAGATGATTTAGAGTTTTTGATGAAAAACCATATTTGTTCTATTATAATGCATCTCCAATAAAAACGCATGTAGTCTAACAATAGTTATTGTTGTATAGAAATACCTCTGTAAATTATGTAAGCGCATATGCTACTAATAGAGCAAATACAGTATGAGAAATAGTTATATTTTAGTCAGTGTCATTACATCAATGATTGAACACTTGTAATGATGTACTTTCTTTTTACAAATAAACTAATGCTGACAACAGAGATATTGTTTCCATGGCAAAATTTTTTTTCCCCCATTTAGAATACATGATTGGGTACACAAAATATATATATTTATGATAATACTCGATACTGATAAATAAAAGACTAAATATAAATACAAATAGGATGAATAAGTAGAAAATTACTAAAAAATATATCATAAGAGACAAAAACGTTATCTTTAAAAAGTAAAATGGCATACACAAAATTTATGTCACAATTTAAAGCACCATGTGAATCTTTTGTTCATCCTAGAAAAAAATTTTGTTATCAAAAAAATTAAAAAGATTAATAATCACAGACTATTTGTTTATTGGTTAGTCTTAATCACATAATCATTAAGTGCGCCCTGATTGGACCACTGCAATAAAATCCTGAAATATGCTAGGATATGATTCATAATTATGGATTACGTTATATATACATGATAATATTAGAAGGAGTAATGGCTTCCCATGATGCATTGCAGCAAAATTTGAATAATGCCTACTGGAAAGACATGAAAGGCACTCTCGGTCGGGGCGACCATCAACAAGAGTGAAAGTGCATTACAAGAATTCCTGTTTGTAGCTGTATGTCATTCAAATACAGCCTATTTTCCCCAAAAACCATATTCCCTCTATTAGGACCACCAATTACAAAAAAAAAAAATACTGTTTTGTTAAAAGCGCATCTCCAATAAAGTCTAAAAATATTGATTGACTTTTAAAAACACCAATGTACACATGTTAATGTAAATTTCTTTTTTTACATAATTGTAGTTCTCTAATAAAGTGAATACAGTATAGGAAAATTTGCGCACAATCTGTGCAGTGGTGTATGTTGAATTATCAAATACTCTTCACATAAATAGAAGAACACAGAATGACATCAATGAATCAAAAGAAAAGTTTTCCTTTTGTTTAAGATGAACTTTTTTTATAGAAAGATGGTTTTTTGTATTCAGACTTGATATATGACGTTAAACAATAAAATAACATGGACTTGTTTATTTCAGATACCCTGAGAAGAAGATGGGAAGGAGAGAATACTATACTCTCAAGGAATCATAGTTATTGCAAGTATTAGACAAGGATAAAGGCCAAAATACAGTCTTGCGTAAAAATAATAAAAGGTATCCCATCTCAGTTTTGTCTCGGCCTCAAAGTCCATGAACTATGACCCCAAAATACAAATAAGTAAATGAACTGAAACTGATTCGAATTAGGGTGGATTTTCTAGCGTTTCTTCTCTGTAGCATTGGTCCGGAAGAGAATCGTTGATATCTCGGATATTCTGGACGGCTGCTCTGAGATCTACCAATGCATCTTCGTAATCCATTATCCACTGCTTCTGTTGATCCCGGGCTGCTTTTAAATCTTCGAGTTTATTATCCAAATCTGCATCCTGTAACGTGTCATTGGTGTCTGCCAGTTGACCCTCTAACTCATTTAGTCTCTCGAGATCAATCGGTTCCAAATGAGCTGGAAAAAAAATACGAACCCAGTTGTGAAAACATATAATCTGAGAAAGGTCTACATGTAGTACCTATATATGTAATATCAAAGCAATTGGACTTTTGGTTTTTAACAAGAAGTCGAAAATATCACTTTTTACCAAAAATGACAAAAATATTCACCAAAATTAGAGAATTTATGATATCATCCCGAAATGAACAAATCTGAGAAAGGTCCACATGTAGCATCGATATATGTAATATCAAAGCAATTGGACTTGTGGTTTTTAACAAGAAGTCAAAAATATCACTTTTTACATAAATATTCACCGAAATTAGAGAATTGAAGATATCATCATGAAATAAACAAATCTAAAAGAGGTCTACCCTAGGTACATACACACCAAGTATCAGAGCATTCAGGCTTGTAGTTTTCAAGAAGAAGTCGAAAAAGTAAAACATTGACACGGGCGAAGGACGCCAGACGCCGACGGACAATCAGTCATATGATAAGCTCCGCTCGACAAAGTCGACAGCAGAGCTAATAAAATGTCAAACCAATTGTAGTAGTAGAAAGTAAAGAATAACAAATATTCGCCAAAAATGGAGAATTTAAGATATCATCGCAAAATGAACAAATTTAACAGAGGTCCACCAAAGCAATTACCAGTATTTTCCAAAAGGAAGTCGGAAATAGCATTTTCTACCAAAAATATTCGCCAAAAATATAGAATTGAAGCTATCATCACAAAATGAATAAATCTGTCAGAGGTCCACTCAAGTATCAAAGCAACTGAGCAGTAGTTTTAAAGAAGAAGATGGAAATGTAATTGTTGACAGACTGACAACAACAGAAAACCACTTATATGACCAGCTCCGCTCCGTCATCTATAAACATCTGATCGTTTTTTATGGGTGGCTGAAACCTATAGTTTTTGTCGTTACATAAGGTTAGATATCTCAACACACATCTTTAATACAAGTGCACATAAGACAAAATATTTCATTTATTGTATGCTGGATTATTAAAACATAACGTAGTCTAACCATTTTTGATACCTGCTTATGCACTACTAACAAAGCAAATACGAGAATAATAATCTGCTTCATACAAGTATAGCTTGCATTGTGGCTGAAAACCTCAGAATATGTCAATATCATTTATATTTTTGTATCATGTAAGTACTTATCCATCAGTAATTACAAATTAATCTCTTTCATTCATACAATTTGACTTTGAATTCTTACCAAGTTCATTCAATAGGTCGTTCACATCACTTAATGCAGACTGTACTGTGTCTGATGCTTCTTGCGCATTTCTGCGGGCTTCATTGGCTTTCATAAGTGCCTGAAAATGAAACAAAAGCAATTATGTATGAACAAACTTGGAGTGAAATAGTTGATCAATTGACAATTTTGTTAGAGACCTATGTGAGACAAGATATCAAAGCAATAAGGCTGGTGGTTTCCAGGAAGAAGTCAAAATGTAAAGTTGTCACCAACAGCAACAGAAAATCATTAAAACGATAAGCTTTGCCTGGCCATATCTTCAGGGGAGCTAAAATTAGAAAAGTTGGCAGGATTTATATAAATATCATAAATCAAAATTGTAGTTGATAATTATTCAATGCAACCAGACATTGCAACGCAATGTGGTTAATTATTAATCTGTGGTCTTTCATTTTTATTCAATCATTTAAAGCCAAACGTGAAATCCACAGATGTGACAGCTATCAATCTGTGAAGTGCTTACCTCTTGAGCTAAGGCAGCATCGTTATCTGCTTGTTTATCTAACTCGTCTAATTCTTGTTCAGTGTCATCAACATCCATCATCAGTTGCATTGCTTCGTCACTTAAACCAGTTGCATCATCCAAAGTTTCTTCTGCATCTTCCTTCACTTGCCCAGCTCCCTGAAAATTAAACAATAAGAGAAAATTATTAAAATGTTAATACAACTCTGATCTGCATGTGTGTCAACTTTTTTGAAAAGTTTTTATTGAATTTTTGAAAAAAAAAAAAAATCAAATTTTCATTATACATCATAATACAAATTATGCTGACTAATTTAATAAGTGGGATTTGTTAAAGCGCGGTAGTTGATAAACATTGATTTTCCCACAATCCAATGCGCTTTTCATATGGAAATCACAAGTATGAGGTTTGACCTGGGTGCAACTTGCACTAATTACCGCCGGTGACTCCTTCGATACCTTACTGTATCACAATGTTTTTTAGTTTGCTTGACAAAACTGGAGTTCCTATCCCGTCATGAAAAAAGCTCCGTTTTCCTTAGTATTAAATATCTCAACTGCAACCTACTGTATATACTCTATTAGTAGCACATGTCTGCATGGCCAGATTTTAATGATTCAGCGTACACTAGATGTAATTTTGTTATTTTCTGTGTGCTTCTAATTACAGATATGCTTCCAAAAGAACACATTTTGTATTTTATATGAGTGTGTATTTTTATAATATTTTGAATGAACACTGATTCACGGAAGAGGTTGCCATGACAACATTTTACAAGTGAATGATGGGTAAGTTGACTTTACCTCAGATGCTTCAACAGCAGTGGTCTCAGCCTCATTAGCAATATCTCTTGCTTGAATTGCATCAGCTTCAGCACCCTCTATGGCATCATTGGCTTCATTGGCGGTGTCGTTAGCTTCTCTGATCAATCTCTCTATTTCAGGAATTCTATCTAGAGCGTCTTCAGCGGCTCCCTTACTCTCCTCAACAAGGTCATTGAACCCTAGTATCCAAAATTTGACACAAAGTTAGAGAGCGCTATTCTACATAAAGTAAGTTTCTAGTTTTTAATAAATCATATTTTTTAAAAAAACACTATCATTGAACACATTTCATATTTCCAGCTTGCTGTGGGAGTGATGTTTTATATATAGTGGGAACGCATCATTAACAAAAGTTCCTAATAAATTTATTTTTATCATACAATTCTACTAAACTAATACCAGATGAATCACGAGTCAATATTTTAAGGCATCGCCTATCGCCATTTTTCCCCATTCAATATTTTATTAATCCTTATTTTAAGGCTATTTCGCTATTTTCACTGATATGTAAAATTAACATGTAAAATAACAATAAAACTCATTTTTTCCTTTGATAGATTTGTGAAATTAAAACACAGTGAATGTGCTCAACACAAAATAATGAAATTAAATGTCAGTGAACATAAATGGTTTTACAGTAAATCATCAAGACATGTTATAGAAGCGAGTCTACCTACCTCTGAGTGTGTCAAGCATATCTCTGGCTTCCTTCACAGTCTTATCACCTTGGTTGATAGCAGCCTGGGCAATGGCTTCTGCTGCATCCACTCTAGCCAATAGCAAGTCAGCTTCCTGGAAACAAACAAGATGGACGACAGTCAGGAATATGCTACCACAAGTTTCTCAAACTAAACAGATAACAGCTGCAACGTTTTCTATTATTTTTCAATTTTTTTGAATAAAAAAGATGAACAGCAGAGCACACCTCAAGCACTGTCGATTTTGGATTTCAATTAAATTTTGAAGACGAAATTGAATTGTCCTGACTGACTACTGTTATTCTTTTTAAAGTTGGACAACCATTTACCTATAATCTTTTAATTAGTTGAACCACTAATTATAATCTACTGTAATCCTTCTATTAGTTGAACCACCAAATTTTAATCTATTGTAATCTTTCAATTAGTTGGACCACCAGAATATAATCTATTGTAATCTTTCTATTAGTTGGACCACTGATTAAAATCTACTGTAATCCTTCTATTAGTTGAACCACCTGATTATAATCTATTGCAATCTTTCTATTATTTGGACCACTGATTATAATCTACTGTAATCCTTCTATTAGTTGGACCACCTGATTATAATCTACTGTAATCCTTCTATTAGTTGGACCACCTGATTATAATCTACTATAATCATTTTATTAGTTGGACCACCTGATTATAATATATTGTAATCTTTCTATTAGTTGGACCACTAATTATAATCTACTGTAATCCTTCTATTAGTTGGACCACCTGATTATAATCTACTGTAATCCTTCTATTAGTTGGACCACCTGATTATAATCTACTATAATCATTTTATTAGTTGGACCACCTGATTATAATA